GCCAAACTTTCACCTAGTACTGCCATTCAGTCAGTAGCCACGGGAAGCAGCCGCAAATGTTCCCAGCTTTTGTTACCCTCTGATTTATAGTCAGTCACTGTGTCCTTGAGGTGTTAGTCTAGATTTCCTGCTTACCAGTGGGTGGACTCTGTGTATTGTGTTGCTAAGTGTATGCTGTTATCATTTCTTTTATGACCTTGTAATTGCTATCGTAATTATTCACAAGAGAAGAGAGGTAAATGGTTTGGAATTAACTGGTTGCGAACCAGTGTTACTGTGAGAGGGGAAAACGTGTATACAGAACTCTGTGTGTACTGTACACACTGTATGTAAGAGAGTACCAAGGGTAAATGGACCACTTCAAATAGCAACATGTGCATTGCAGCCTGGCTCCACGCATTCATCAAGTCACATGGAAGATTAAGCTGTTTTTCCCCCACAGCAAAGCCTTCAGTATTCACGTCAGTAAAGCGCAAGGACTCAACTATTACAGGAGGGAGGATGTGCGGTTTTTTAATTTTGTTTTTTTAGGTTGCAGAGGTATTCAGTTATCCCCGTCCATAAACAGATCTGTCAGGGTTTTTGACTTTTTCATCTAGAGCAACGTTTGTGCTCATTCATTGGATTTCATACTATGTAAATCTTCAGCGGGGTTTGGAAGCTTTGGGCCCGATGCTGCTTGGTTCAGTGCTCATTGGCATTCAGACACAGCGTGCGTGTGTGTCAGAGGAGTGAAGTGAAGAAGGCTGAAATTGTAAGAGAGTATTCAGGTGTGTAAAATACAGTCAAATCATAACCTTTGACCTCAAAATAGTTTTAATTCTTCAAATCAAGACATCAGAAAGTATTGCTCAGGTCTAGAGGTAATTTCTATAAATGGGCCTAAATATAAAGTCATATGAAGGTGAGATTTGGGATGCAAAAGTATCCACTGGATTTCCAGTAGCTATAAGTTAAAACACCTAAAAATTGCCATTTAGTTTTTTCAAAAACCTGAAAATTTAATCTTTTTTTAAAATAAATGTAAAATGAACATGAACTCTCCTCCCTCTGTGTTTGTGTCAAGTTCCTCTGACACACAAACACAGAGGCCTCTCTTCTGCGATGGCACTGTATCAATATTATGCTTTCTCCACCCTGCTCTGTTCCTGTTTGCACAGCCCAGTAAACGTACCCACCTAGTAATCCCTAATGGAGGAAATCCAACTCTCCCTTTGTGATTCGCTGAGATCTTTTCGTCTCTATTTGTTTCTCAGAGACCCGCCGTGTTAAATTTGTTCGACTCTTTCAACCTCAGCTGCAGCTTTTTTGTTAACACAGGAAGCTGTACTGGAGGTGTCTTTCTGTGTCACTTTTAACCTTCTTTTTGTTTCACTCTGTCTGTTTCACACAGTTTCCCTCCGTCACTTTCTCTTCCTCTCCTCTCACTTGAAAGTCTAGCTCCCTCCATTGTGCTCTCGCTGTGATCGGAAGCTTGTTTTTGGATTCGTGCCGTGTGTGTTCACGTCCCTTTCCTTGTACAAGTCTTTTAGGAAAAGCATGCGCACCGTGTTGTGCAGACATGCATGCACCCTGCTGAGTGAAACGCTTCAGTCATCAGAAATTCATTTTACATCACAAAAGCAACAATTAGGTCTGTTGTATAACATGAACTCTACTTAATATTGAACAACAGTCTCTTTATGACGTAGATGTGAATCATGTGTCACAGTGATCTAATATCTTCTGATAGGCTGCATAATGTCCAGCCAGACGGCACTGTTTTTTTTTTTCCTTAGGAGTATCCCACTCTGTGTGGATGACTCAGTGAAAAACACTAGGCTTGCAGGAAGAGAGCCTCTTGTACCAAGGCAATATATAAAGTGACGAGTGACAGACTAAAAGAAGGGCTTTAAGAGCGCTTCAGGGTCATGATCTTGCTTGAAAACAATAGTGTGTCATCGGATGGAGAATGAGGGGAAAAATTGTGACAAGTGAAAGAGGGGTACGTGTAGAGAAAAACAACAGAGAATCAAGGCACAGATGATTTATTTCAGCCTTGTAGCTGCCAGTACAGCTTATCATGTGAAACCAATAGTGTATATATATTCAGAGACCACTTTATTAGTACTGGGTTGGACCCTTCAGAACTGCTTTAATTCCTTATTGTATAGCTTCAACAAGGTAGTGGAAGCAGTCCTCAGAGATTTTGGCCCGTGTGTATATAGGTGATAGCATCACACAGTTGCTGCAGATTCATCGGTTGCACATCCATGATATGAATCTCCTGTTCCAACAAAATCTCAAAGATGATCTTTTGGATTGAGATGCAGTATTATCCTGCTGGAAGCAACCATCAGAAGGTGGGCACACTGTGATTATAAAGAGATGGACATGTTCAGCACAATACTCGGGTAGGGTCTGATACCCAAACAATGTTCAGCTGGTTCCAAGGGTGCCAAAGTGTGCCAAGAAAATGTGATCCGCACCATTACGCTTGTATCAGCCTGAACCGTTGATACAAGACAGGATGGATTCATGCTTTCATGTTGTTTATGCCAAAATTCTCACTTTTCCATTTGAATGTTGAGATTCATCAGATCAGACAACATTTTTTCAATCCTCTAATATCCAGTTTTGGGCTGTGTGAATTGTAGTCTCAATCTCCAGCTGCTGTAGCCCATCTGCTTCAAAGTTTGACATGCTGTACATTCAGAGGTCCTCTGCCTTGGTTGTAATGGGTAGTTATTTGAGTCAGTGTTGCTTTCTTACCATGTCTACCTGCCTAAATACAAGTTGCTGCCTTGAGATTGGCTGATTAGATTTGCATTATTGAGCCAGTGTAGCTAATTAAGTGTCTGGTGAATGTTTACGTCTAAATTTTTGACATTGTCAGAACTGCAAATTTATGTCATCTGCTCTTTCTGTTGATATAAGTTATTATCATTACAATGGAGGGACAAGAAACCACCTTTTATACCTTCCAGTATAACTCTGTTGAACAAATCCAGGTGGTGTGTGTTTTGCTTGTATATTGTGGTGCTTAAACTAACTACTCAACTTTGTGGCCTTGTTGGATGTGCTGTTTGGCTCATAAAGCTGGTTGTAGGTTTACAAAGGAGCGCTTCAAGCTGCTGACTGCCCACCCTGCGGTGGGGCAGGTAGAAGAAAATCCTTGCTTAAGATTATGTGGTGGAAATGTAATCGTGATAATTATTATCAAGGTACTTCGTCTTCAAGTAAAATATATTTTTAGTATTTTCTACGAGCAAACAAAAGACTTCCAAGTCATCATGAGGGTCTGAGACACACTAAGTCTGAATGAAATACCGGACATGTTCTACCTCGGCTTCTACCTTTGTGTAACCCACAGAGGACACTAAAATGAAAGGATAACCCCCAAATGTGTTGGAGTGCAAAAGGGTCAAAGTAACACAAATCACTGAACAGTAAACAGCACTCAAAGGGGAAAAAAAGGACACACACACATGCATCCTTGTCCTATTTTTTGTTGTAAGGAAATGATGAGAGGTTGTGTACAGTGTGCACAAACGAAAATAAAACATTAAAATTGTCTTTACAGGCAATTTTCTTGTAGAATTCTTTGTTTTATCTTCCTGGTGCTGAAGTTAATCAAATCTAAATTGACATTGGATGAATCAGCACCGAAGTGAACACCAATAAAATCTTAAAATAAGACGGCAAAATAAATTACAAGTTACATGGCAAAATGTTCCACGCAATGTTTCAAAGAGTGTCTCTTCAAGAGAAAGGGCTCCATTGTCCCACTCCATTGAAATGGGCTGCCAAAGCACAGTTTAATCTACAGAGATACTTAGATTTTACAGTAAGGCTGAGTTTTTCTGTATAAGTCTTGCACAGAAATGTATAGTTTCTTTGTCATGCAGATAAATATTTGTAAATTTGTGAAGTACATAAGTATTTTTTTCAATGGTTTAGGTTATGAACGTTCTAGATATGTGTTTTGTGCAGAAAAAGCTGCATGAAACATATTTTAAAATGATTTGCAATGTACACAAAAAAAAAGATGAACTGAATGTTGGAAAATCTGAGCAAACATTAAAGAATCCTGCACAGAATGAGATGGCGCTGGTCGTTGACAGTCACGCCGAATGCATTTCACACCTTACATTACAAATGTACGAGTAAGAAAGTAACAGTTTGCCTGATGACACACTTGTGGGGTTTTTTTTATGTTTTTTTTTATTTTTATTTCTTTTTATTAAAAGAAACAGCTTTTCAAGACATCTGCTATTTAAATGTGTTACAGTCGTTTAAATCTATCAGGTCACATTTCAAAGGGTCTCATTCAGAATCTTTTGGCAGAGGAAAATCCACAACCTGCTGCGTAACATTCCTGTGTCAGGATGCTGTTTGTTCAGCCATCTGAACTCAGCAGAGGCAGCATAGGTTCTGCAGCCCCTCAAAGACTTTACCACAAAAGCCCCCCCACCCCTACTTGGACCACCTACAGCCATAGACCAATTAAAATCACCACCCGCCATTTCCTGACCCAAATGGTTTGGCACACACACGTGCCCCTCATTCGTAGCCACATACTCAAAGTGATGATGATAGTAACAACTGGAGAGAATAGAAGCGATCAATAAATAATGGATGCTAATTGGCCCAGCTCATTTATTATTAATATTCTCAATTACCACTAAAGGGCCCACCTGACTTGTCTCTGTGCACGCGTTTCTGTGTATAGGTCACAGAAGATGTGCGTAAACATGAGCAAACTGGTGTTTGTAACTGGTCTTCTGTCGTACTGGGTGCATGTCCCACAGACACATATGGCAGATGCTATATATTGTTTATAGAAGATGGTGTATGCTATAGGATAAACTATATTACAGCCTCAAAAACTGTCCCGTTGCTCAAAGACTCACCCCCTCCTCACTGTTTTTAAACAAAAGCACGAGAATTACAGCCGAATCTGTTTTCTAACAAGGCTGTCCTGCTTTCCTGTTTTTTCCTTTCTCCACTCGTTCCTGCAGATCACCACTCTGATCAACCACAAAGACAAGCCAAAGAAGTCAGAGCGCACCCTGGCAGCTATACACAGGGTGGGCCAGGCGGTGAGTGTAGCAGTGGGGCGTTTTGTAGCAGTCGGGGAGGCCATTGCCGCAGAGAACCAGGAGCTGAAGGATGAGATGGGTCAAGCCTGCTTCGAAGCTCGCAGAGCAGGTGAGCATCTTTGGTTGGGCCTCGTTTTTACTTGACATTTTTACTGAACTGCTGCACATAAACGTAGCACATAGTGGAGTGTTTTTTTCTAGCTTTCACTCCTTTTTATGTGTTTGATGTATAAAATAAGTGTTGTTGTTTTTTTGTTTTTTTTTTATCGTAAAGGCTTCTTCGTGATGGATCCTGTATTTTCCTGTAGTAAACTTGGTCATTTCTTTATGATGCTCTGTTTTTTCCACTGAGGGTGTATTGACCTGGTTATCCAATAAGCTGCAGGCTTCTCATCACTGTTTTGTTAAGACAACCAACGACAGTTTCATAAAGCATCGAGCATCACCTTCAGGCTTCAGTCTTATCAAATTTTATCAAATTTCGATTAGTCTGAACAGCCTGGCTGTCAAACAGTATTACACCAGAGGACCTCCAGAGTGCTCTAAACACATTGCCGTTATTAGGTTGGAAGTAAAATATGAAAAAGTGCTGCTGCACCCAAGGGTGCTGTGTAGAGTGAGGGAATTAATGTGTGTATGTGGGCTTGGGAAGCACTGCATAATGGATTCTGATAGAAGGAAATAGGAGACTTTATGCAGCCGGCTGTTGGTGAGATTAAAAGGGTTGTAGTTCCCCTAATATTCAGCACCTCAAACAGAAATTGATAGTTTCTTTGTTATGCAGATACATATTTATAACCTGTTTGAAGAACCAATCATATTTTCCCATCGATTTATATTAATTGACCTTTTCTGTGTTGATTTCTCTCCACGGCTGCATCTCTAAAGAGAGATTCTCTCTACTAACATCTCTACATTTGTAAAGATCTAAGTGTTCTGTAAATATTCTTCCCAAAAGCTATATCGATGTGGATAATCCTGGTGTCCTTGGAAGTTTAATTATTATGGATGAAACATTCTATGTAATGTGTCTTATGTTAAGGCACAGACATACAAACATACACTACAATCATTATATTAAGATTAGTGGTATTAGTAGTAGTAGCAATACTACAGATTATATAATATTGGATACCCTAATGGGATTTTTCTGATAAAGTCATTATGCTGAACATTTCAGGGTTTCAGCCCAAGTTCTAAAACATGCTCATGAGGTCCTGGAGTTGAGTTGAGTTGAGCATTTAATAGTTGCCCTCTCTCCCGGGATGCAGTGCAAACCATTTCTTCATAACCCTGAGCAGATCGGAGCAGATTTGTTTGGATGTTTTCGGCAAATTTCATATGCATGCTATTTAAACCTGCTTTAACCTCCATCTCATTATTGAGATGGAGGTTGGAGACTATAGCACATGGTCAATATTTTGTACGCGCCCCAGCTTGTAATCTCTTTGCCATTTAAAGTATTGGCTTTGAAAAGAGGATCGAAGTTTGCGACCACTCGCAGCCAGGCGCAGCTAGTCTGTTATCAGTCTGGTATTAGTTTGGGTTGTGTTACATGCAGTCTGTTTTCGATAATACAGCAGTTTACGGTGATAAATCAGCACAAACTGTAAGTCTGGTAGCATCTTTTGAAAATCTGTTGCTGTCTACATACACAGAAATTCACATTAATTACTTACATTCAGAGTCCAGTTTGATTCTCATACATCTGAAACAGAAATTCCTCCAGAAATAGTGACATAGTTGCTGACTTACGCAATCTGCAACTATTGTTTTATGTAGGAATATACCAAGAAAAAGTTGATTTGAGTCTCCCGTTGTAAGGAGACGGGTTGCAGACGAGTCGTGTTCCTCAGCTCAGACTGATTGCAACGTGTTGGCAATTAAAGGGCATTTGTTTGTAAACCTTAACCAGTCTGTCTGACAGACAGTTGTTTGAAGACAGGTTACCACCCACCAGGAAACCCCTCATTTTTTTTCCATCCATCCGTCCTCTTCTGCTTATGTTTATCAGGGTCGGGGGCTATCCCAGCTATCATAGGGCAAAAGGCAAGGTACACCCTGGACAGGCTGCCAGTCTCATTTTCATTTATTAATTTTTTTCTTCCTGCTCATTGCAAGGCTACGGTCTTTTTATTTATTTCTTTATGACTAAGCTAGAAATGCATAACATATCTGCTGACACTGAAACCTGTACCTGGGGTTTGATGAGAGATGCTAGGAGGAGGTCAAAAAAGTAGCCACCAGTGTTAAAAGACAAGAAAGAGCGAACTGTTAGCTCTAACTGAAGATGGAAAAGACAAGGTGATGTTTTTGTGAGAGATTTGCTTTTCCCACTGTTTTTAGCACTTCCCTTTGTATTGCCTTTTTAAGATCCTGTCTAAAAATATAGACTCTCTGGCTTCCTGTCAGTCCAAATGTTCTCACAACCCTTAGTTTAGATAGTTGTTATCACTTGCAAGTGTAACTTTTCTTCATCTCTGCCAACTCTTGCAATCTTATCAGACAAAACAAGGACCTCATTTAGCCTTCTACAGAGCAAACCGGAAACAATATCGCAGCGGATAAGAATTTAGCCTCAACACCGTGATAATAGGTTTATGTTGTGGGAACCAGCTTGTGTAGCTTTAATCCTCTCACAGTGCTGATTTGTAAAGACGGCTAAAACTCAAACAAAGAGAGCGCTGGTGGGAGGAGGAGAATAGACTGATGAGAAAGTGTGTGTGTGTTTGTGAAGCTGCGTGCGCTGAGGTAAAACCAAGTAAAGTGTATGTGTGCACCTGTGTGTGCGTGTGTGTTGCTTGCCCACTGTGACTAATTTATTCCAGTTCTTGCTTTCCTCTCAGGGAGGTGTTTTCACAGTTTTCCCTCATACTTATACTGACAGTCGGTACAATTGTTCCCTGATTAAAAAAAACTTTCCCCCCCTTTTTTTTCCTAGTCTCTGACTATTTAAAAAAAAATAATGGAGGCATCTTGAGGGATGATAAAAAAGGTCTTTTCTCTTAGATTTTGTTAAAGTCTCTGGGAGAAAGCAGGGCTAGTTAGTGAAGGATTGACATTTCTCTAATACCTAGCCGCAGGGAGAGTTTAATCAGGCAGGCTTCAGCCTTGTGTGCGCTGTAATGAATGAAATAAAAGCAGGCTGAAAGCACTAGTTTAATTAGATGCTACCCATCATCGGCGCGTCGCAGGGATCCAATGAGGCAGGTCAGTGAAGGCAATCTGTGCTGGATCTCTGTCTCTGTCAGTTTCACTCAGTTTCTTAGTGTCATTCTCACATTTCCGTGATTTCTGCCTTTCCCTTTCTTCCCAAGATGTCAAAGAAGGGTAGCTGGGATCAGGATGAGAATGAATTTGCGTAAAGTAAACTATCAAAATGTTTTATCTAAGTAGCATATGACATGTGAATGACACAGAAACACGGCTACAGCAATGTTGGCACCTATACACTCTCTGGCTTCCTGTCAGATGTCAGATTCCAAATGTTCTCACAACCCTTAGTTTAGATAGTTGTTATCACTTGCACTAGCCTGCACTACACACAGTACAACTGAGGTGGTGGGGTACATATTAATTTTGAAAGTTGTTATGTAGTTGAAAGTGGGATTATATAAGATTCTAAGTGTAATGTGCCTGATCCATTGCCATCCATAGAGTCAGGCAATATACCAGCATACAACAGACTACACCGTCTGGTTTTCACTTATCAATAAAGAGTCGATGATTCAGGAAACAAAAGCAGAATTCATTCACACGGCACACAACTTTTTGTGTTGGGCAAAACTGCTTTGTACATGAACAGATAGATTTGACACTTAAAGGCTCAGTAGGATAGGTTTGATTTCAACTCAAGATTATGAAAATCTGTGCCGGGCACAATTTATATTCTGCTAATGGAGAGGCGAGAGTTGGATCAGGCCTCTGTTATCTACCCTTGTCGTGGTCACGGGGGGGTTGTGCAGCATTCTTTGTGAGGCGGGCCTCAAATGTTTTAACTGGTTAGCAGAGCTGGCACTGAAAAGCAGCCTGTCGGATGCAATCAGTTCCTCACTGCAGCTTCTTTTAAAGGACCAGCCAAACATAATGGACAGCTAAGCTGCAGCACTTGCTAGCGACCTATCCCCTTCCCTTTCCTTTCTGAACTCTGAACTCTTGCTGGGATTTCTTAACTTTGTACATTTTCCTCTTGATAGAGGATATTTTGGTAATGGGTTTTCAGCCTGCTCTGTATAACTCTACATTCTTCCCTTTTGGGGGTAGTTCTAGTGCACAGTCTGTTCCAAAGTGTGCCCATTCGGAACTGGCTGATTGCTTGACCTCTGGTATAGCTGCTCGCAGCTTTCTCATAAGCACAGACCAACCGCCCAGCCGAAGAGAAACACTGCTGTGAGTCCTTTTTGTGTTGTTAGCCATATCTGTCTAAATAGTTGTCTGATCATCTAAAGGAGCCGGCAATGTGGTGTGTGATGCCGGCAATCTTTTAACCATTGTGCAACTGTAATAAAGTTGGGTACAACATCAGGTCCGTTGTATGTGGTCTATAAAGATAATAACACTTACTGAACCATAGGCTGGAATAAAGTCAGTTTCTCAGTTGTTTCCTTCATTTATTAGTGACATGAGCAATTATTATTTTCTGGTTGGGGGCGGGGTGGGGGGTTTGGAGCATTATGTATTAGTATTATCTGAACTAACTACTTTTTTTTTAACTCTTAAAACAAGTCACATTGGAAGCATACCAGTAAGTTGGGGGCTGTGTTGTAATAGCAGACATGCTAATGTGCTAAGTTCCAGTCTGTCCAAGACTTTACTGCCAGAGGTGAAGAGTGACACACTGGAGCAACATAACAGTGTCATAACTAACAGGCCATGATCAATTGACTGGCCATCCGTCCAATTTCTTCCTCCTATCTGGGTCCAGATCTCAGTGACAGAAGGCAACAGAAAAATAGCCCTAGAGGTGTTTCTTCCTGCCACATCCTGCAAATCCTTCTGAGTACTTCCAGGCCAGATGGGATATGTAAACCCTGCAGCATGTTCTGTGCCTGACTCCACAAATAGGATAAGATCCTTTTTGGATAGCCTGACACCAAGTCAGAAAGTGTTCAGGGCCAACCAAGTTTCCATGGCCTCTTCAAAGTGAGCTTTTGGGCCGTGTGACTTGACCTTTCACTGCCTAATCTGATTTTTCAGTTTTTATGAACAGAGTTAAAAAGTCCAAAAAATGTCCCTGCTGGATATAGCCCAACTAGAACTGGACTTCTTACATAACATAAACACATTAAAAGCATTTAAAAAGCAGACTTGTACCGAGCACAACTTTTTTTTTTTCTTCTTTCCCCCCCTGCTTCTCGGCCAATAGATCATTTCAAAATAACCTGTTTTCTTTTTGTTTCCAGCTCACGTATTTGGCGAGGTGTAGAAACAACCCCCCTCTAAAACAGATGGTGGATAGCAAAAAAACCTCTGTTGGTATAATTAAAATATACACAAGCTTATAAAGAACTGATGTCAAAAAAACAAACTATATTTAATTTTCATGTGTGAAGCTGTGTTTGATCTCAGAGATTAAGTTTAGTGAAACTACTTTTATTTTAACATACAATTAGGCTTTTTTTGGATGAGAATAAAAAAGAACACTCATAACCGTTAATATAGCATTCATCTTTATCTGCAGGTGAAGTAATGTCAAACAGTGTATCATCTCAGATGGTTTAAAGTTCTACCATTGTGGCTTGATGACCCACGCTGTCCCTCACAGGTGATGCCATAGCCCAGCTGACAGATGTTGGCTCGGCCTTGCCGTCCCAGTTGGATGGACGTGTCACAGTGTTCAGTGATAGGACAGCGATGGTGAAGGCTGCTCGATTGCTCCTCTCTTCTGTCACCAAAGTCCTGGTGCTGGCCGACCGCATCGTCATCAAACAGATAATCACATCACGCAACAAGGTGAGTCATAACGGACGTGAGCCATAGCCACATAACCACATGAATGGGTTCGCTTGCTTTGTTTATCTTCTACACGTTTTGGTCCACACAGAAATACACACACATGCACGTGCGCACGCGCACACACTAGCAAACTCCATCCTGAGTCCTTTATGTCCTAACAGATAAGCACTGGCTCTCTGAAGAAGTGCTCTGGAGGTAATTGAAGGGAAACAGCACATTTAGCAACCACATAAAAACGCAGAACCAGAGACTGTCTCTCTCTGTCGTACCTGGCTATGCTCTTAGCCAGACAATGTGATACAGATGTAGCTCTGTAGAATGAGTCAAGAATGGAAACGGGCCCTAATCATGACTGGTTAGCCTCGTTTCGACAGACAGTCGACAGCCCCCTGCTCTCCATTATTGGCAAACGCAATTATACCTCTTCCTCCTCTTTGCATGGCATGGATAAAAGCTGCTTATGCTCGGTATGCTAGCATGGCCTCATTGGCTAGCATAAATGTAATGCAAATCAATGTAAAAAAGATACTAATACACTTCTATCACATTGAATTGTCAATGCAACAAACGGCAGGATGAGGTTGACAGAAATAAAAGTGTATATTTACTCTAGTATGGCAAATCATGTTTTTAGTCTCCCTACTAATATTCTCATCAACATAGACAGTATAAAAGATGAATGTCGCTGCCATGAATTTTTTTTTTTTAACGTTTTCTGAAGCACAGAGATCATTTTAAATGTTGCCAATTTGGTTTCAAAAACCCGACTGCGGCAAGGAGTGTGAAATAGCTTGCTCATTGGCTAACTGGGAATCACTTGTCAATAGCCAATGAGCTTACCATGGATAATCTTCCGGTATCCACTGACTAAGATTTGAAAATAGACTTAATCTTTTGTTCAATATGACCCAAAATGAGTGACTAGGTCCACAAAGTCACGAGGAACTTGCTAACAGAGGTCATGTCAAGGCATTTTTTCCCTCAAACTTCAATTCAGGTTTCTTGTATGATGTCTTGCACTCATTGCTCAATTGTTGGCCATTGCGTATGATACCACCAGTTGTTATGGGAAACATTTTTATTCTCCAACTGGTAATTATTGGCATTGCTGGCAGTGGATCCTGAAGGTTTGTGGCTATTGCTGGATGAAATTGGTTGAAAAGAAAGTGCTACACCAAAGACATCCTAGTGACTGCTTTGGTTGCTACCAGATTGCCGTGGTTTCCTGTAGTTTTTTCGTGTTTGTCTGCAAGTGGGACACCCATCGGAAATGGAGAGGTTTCATCTTCAAAAATAAAAGTTGCACCTTTTTAACCATGAAGTTTCTGACCTTACTGCACGAAGGGGATTACATCTGATTAGATCACCTTCAATCCAAACTTAGTTCTGATTGGAAATTGTCTTTTCAGAACATTTTCATCTTGTTTTTATTCATTGATGAAAGTGTCAGGACACTTCAACATTGCGTCTGAGCTCGTGCATTTGTTTTTATTAAGTGATCGTCTTGTTTTTTCATAAAAAGTGGTCGTGGATGAAAATTATTGCTTGACGTAATAAACACTGTTCACAACTGGTGGTTGCCAAATGATTGCAGACCTGCCTCTCGGCCTTTTGACAGAGTCCTTATTTACTTGATCCTAAACTGTCACCCATGATTGTCACGCGTTCAGAGTGTGACATGTGTTTGTAAAACCGGTCACCATTCGGTGGCCTTCAGGTAGAATCCAGGTTTAAAGCACTTCCACAGTGGCTTCATCTTTCTAACCCAAAAGCAACGACCAGGTTTTATACTGCCTATGATACCAAACTATGTGGCCATTTCCAGTGCTACTCTGATGTTCTTCCTGCTTTCAGGTTCTGGTAACGCTCGATCATCTGGAAAGAGTCAGCACCTTCCAGGAATTTGTTCAGATTTTCAGCCAGTTTGGCAACGAGATGGTGGAGTTTGCTCACCTGACGGGAGACAGACAGAATGTGAGTGGCATCTTAAGAAACACAATCTGGTTATTTTTGCTTGAAGAGGATAAAAATCCTCAGTTTACTTAAAAAAAAAAATCCCTCATTAAATGAAAACGCTTGCAAATTTGTATCCGAAGTCTTTTCAATTCTGCAACACTGAAAAACATGTTTGTTTATTCATATCGGCCTAATCTTGCAAACATTGATTTCGTAAACGTGATTTTCTGAATGTGAAAGCAGGCGATGAAATTGCACTTTAAAACCTCATGTACCTACACTGTGAATGTGCCGGCAAACTCAGAACAAATCAATAACACACGTGTCAAATATTTACACTCCCCAGCAAATCAAACAATTACAGATTAACAAGGCTTCCTCTGGTTTCTTTTGTTTCCATCAAGTTTCTTCATCTCTTTCAGTGTCTATTTATTCTCCCAACCAATGTCTCAATCCATAAAAGAAATGCACTGGTCAGTTATGACTCACATCTCTCAAATACAGTTTGCAACACGAGTCTGAGCTGTGCTTTTAGCAGTCCTTTCTCTTTGCAGTTTATCAGCTATCCAAATTTGCAAGACAAAACTTTTGCTCAAAGCTTCAAAAACAGTCCAACTTCAGGCAGCTAACTTTGTACTGTCAGAGAGTGCTAATCCTATTTTGATCCATACATCCAGCCTCTGCAGCTAAAGCGCTTTGCCTGCAGAAGTTGATGCAAAGTGCAACGGCTGCGATATCTCTACAGGGAGGGGAGGATCGACCATCCCTCTTTCTGAATTTCATCAGGTCTCGTGTTTTGACACACACGTCACGTCTCTCTCCAACGCTCCTCGTTGCTGCTAATGCTCTCTCCCCTCATTTGCCACCCTGTTTTGTGTGTGTGTGTGTGTGTGTGTGTGTGAGTGTCAACTCCAGCTCAAAAATTCACACGCGCACACATTGCTTTAGAAAATCTACCATCTTCATCTATTGAGGCCAGGCGAGCACAGAGGCAAAAATAATGACAGATAATCACACCGTCTTTGTAATCTATGGCGAAGTGCCCAGAAAGGAGTTGATTCAGCTGCCTTTTCCAAATCCAGTGTCTACATAATTCAAGCTGCCTATTTCTGAGCGGAGTACACAAAGAAGATGCGGCAGGTCAGCCACAGTGTATGTTCTTTTCTATTCCGGTAGCATCTCTTTTTGATAGATAACAGCTCACCTATTAAGTTTCATGCGTGTAACTTGGAAACGGATCTGTGTTTCGTTTGGGCGTCCCTTCACACAGCATGAAAGATTTGTTGAATAGCTTTGATGCTTCATGTCCCTTGCTCACCCTGAGAGTTCTAAGACGCCGTAACTTAAGTAAAGCCACCCAAAGCCATCTGGTGTGTGTGTGCGTTTGCGCTGCAGGACTTGAAGGATGAGAAGAAGAAAGCCCGGATGGCAGCAGCTAGAGCAGTGCTGGAGAAGTGCACCATGATGCTCCTCACAGCCTCCAAGGTAAACCGCCGGCCCACCAACACTGGGCCTCGAGGCAAGGTTTATCAATTCTGTTCGCCTTAAAGATTTAAAGCCTTCTCGGGTTTCTCAAGACTCAAGATTTTTGGCCCACTTTGGCTTTATTATTAACACTAACCAAAGTCACATCATCATAAAAGAAAAATACTATCTGTGGTTGAAAAACATGAAAAATGACAGAAGTTCAGAAGAGCATGACAGGGTGTAGGTTTGACATTTCACATCTTATCCCTACCAAAGACTTGCCTGAGGCACCCAGACTGTGAGTCGGCGCGGATCAACAAAGACGCCGTGTTCCACCGAATGCGCTGTGCCCTGGAGCAGGTCATCGAGATTGTCACTGAAGCACGGAGCTGTGGGGAGAACAGGATCCTTCCTGCCAGCATCTACAATGGCATCAAGGAATTTAAGGTAGGTTTAGAGATTACACTTCGCACGAGTCATGGTGAAGGCTTCAGATTAATGACGCTGACGTGTGTTAGCCCGTGAAGTTAAGTAGTGATCCTCTTTTGTTAATGCAAAGCGCTATTTAAGCGTCACAGCAGTTACTCATCATCCGATTTTTGGAGTGTTGATTTGTGGTCGCACAATTGGCATTTGTTGCATTCACGGTGTTTGCTGTAGCTTCAGATGTGACTCAAACAATCAACACAGAGGAGCAGACCTACTCATTTAGTAATTTGGCTCATACGGTTGAGTGAATCACCAGTAAACCTACCTCATGCTTACTAATCTTCTCTCTCCTCCGTGTGCGCTGATGTGCAGATGAAACAAACGAACACTTGTAAAAACATTTTTAAGGAGGGGTTTTTTCCACTGAGATAAAAGAAAGAGGAAAGTATTTTAATGAAAAGGCCTGAGATGCTTATTGCTTTTAATGATCGTCCCGGCTGCTTTTAATCTCTTCTCATCTACTTTCCAAATGTTCCTTCAATTCACCGCAATTCCCAACTTTCCCCCCACCCTGCCTTCTGCAGTCCGGCGTGGAGTGCCTGCGGGAGAACCTATACTCCTTGTCACCGCAGAGCATGTCCAGCCAGCTGGAGGCTCTGGTCGAGCGGACAGAGGACTTCACTGATTCGGCCTACACCAGTCATGAGCAGCGTCAGGCCATCCTTGGACTGTGCCAGCTGGCGCGCCAGGACACCCAGCAGCTGGTACACGCCTGGGTTGAGGCGGTATGTTGGCACATGCAGACAGGCTTTCACAGATGTACACAGAGACACAGGAATATTCATAAAAAAGCCATACATTTCTGTATAAAGACTATCCACAAGTTCTTATCAGATTCGATTAGATAAAACTTTATTAATCCCTCGGGTGGTTTCCTCCGGGAAATTCGGTTTCCAATAGCACAGCACCGACAGAAGTTACAGAATGTGAGCAGAAATATACCATATATACACATATATAAATACAGAGACATATATAAATACAGAGTATACAAAGGGATAAATAGAATAAGAATCCAAGGGAATTTCACATTTCAAGTATTCTGTAAGAGGCTTCAGGTATTGGTAGGTTATAAAAGATGCAAAGAGTAGGAGCTATAGATGCTGATGTTGAGTTATTGCAAAGAAAATACAATATGTATTTATTCTGATCCTTTTAAGACTGCTGTTTATCATATACAGGACTGCACAGAAAACTTGAGCAGCCCTAATTTCTTTATATTTTGCTACGAAAATAGGAAATGGGTGCAGTAATTAAAAAAACATCTGCAAACATATATGGAAATGCAGAATATAAGGCGAGAACAATTCTAATAAGCCTGAATATCAATATTTGGCATGACGACTTTTGTTCTGAACTCTCTTAGGCAGCTTTCTTGTAATTTGTTGAAATAGTCTTCGGGAATAGACGTCGAGGCTACTTGAGGAACATTCAAAGCCCTTCTTTGGATGTTGGCTGCCATTAGTTCTGTTCTCTGTCATCATGATCACATCCCAAGATGCTTAAAAAATGTTGCGGTACAGACTCTGGAGAGGTGAATCCATGACTGATAGTGCTGCTTTCTGTGTTTTCCTATCTAAGTATGCTTTTACTGCACCGATGATGTTTTCCAGATGCTATTACATGGTGGATCAAATCAGATTGTAGACAGACGGAGCCTCCACCATGTTTTGCAGATGGTTGTAGACTATTACTGTTGCATCTTTCTCCTAACTTCAGACCAGTTGCTACTGATTTTCAGTTAAGTTCTTGTGTAATTTGGCAAACCTCAGACCAATTCTGATAAGGCTTTGACCAACAGTGCTGATGAAAAGATCACCTTACCACTAACAGGTTCTGTGTCGGTTGGGTTTTTTTTCCTATTGCTTGACCTGCAGACACTGTTCATCTAATTTTTATTTTTAAAACCCGACACTTCTCCAATCCTCCACACAATTTCCTCTTCTTTTTTTTTTAAAGAGACACTGCACACAATTATGAGAGATGCAGAGTTTTCCGTTAATAGCTCTTTAGGTTGGTCCAGAAATATTTTTTTGGGGAACAAATGATGTGTTTTGGTGACTGGCTTTTACTAACAGTGTCTGATGATGCATTTTAACTTTGATTCTTTGCTAAGTTGTCTGCTAAGCGTAGTTTGATCCCTTTTTATGTTTGAATGATTGATAGGCCTCTTGACTTAACAAACAAAAAAATGGTCAGACACAAGGACTGGACGGAAAATGAGTTTTAAACAGCCCATGTCAAAAGAAAAACTTCAGAAAGCTTGAAGAACTATTGCTTAATACCATTTTACAAAAGCAGTCTGGCTCCTTGGAGCCAGTACTGTATGAACATTCACTGCATTTGTTTTTAGTCTATTAGTCAGACAAACCAAGCACATTTAAACCACCACAGTGACCTCAGATAAATTCTGAAGTCAAAATGTAATAGATTTGAAAAATTAAAATATTAAGAAATTGTTAAAGAACATAATAGTCAGGCTTTGATAAATGTATTCTCAAGTGGGAACAATCTTGTGTTTATCTCTGCGCAGCATGCAGTGTGGCTGTTTAAACACAGCTCCGCAGACAGAAACTCATACAGGCAGACCCACACACATTAGCATTAGGCCCCCCTCCTCCTACAAACTCACTTACTCATTCACCTTGCCTCCTCAGTTTCTTTTCACACATCTCTCCTGGAACAACATAGCATAATAACCCACCTGAATCACTGTTTTTACCGAGGCTCATTGAGCTGTGAAAGAAAATGTTGTGTTCCTCCTCATTCAGCGGTGTCTCCTTGGCCTTCAGAATTGATGGACTTGCGAAACGCAAGTCATTATGTTGCAGTTTCTAGTTGTAAACTTTTTTTTTTCCAGTGTACTCGGAGTACACAGAGATGCTACTGCTGCAAAACTGTACAGTACTGCCTCATCAAGCCTTTGCAGCTGAAGGTCGTGTGGGGACTGGAACACTGCATTGTTTTCAAACTGCTGAGAAAGATGTGCAAATACTCTAGGATCTTTAATTTGTGCTTTTCAGTGTTGTTGTAGCACATTTAGCAGCATTTCTGTCTGAAATTAGGAGAATTTGCTGTGAATTACTTCAATTATGTAATTGCTTTGAATCTTTTTATTCATATTGCACTGAATCATGTGCTCTAATGCCTTCTTCTCTCCTCATATCCAGGATATAATGAGCCACAAATGTAATTAAAATATCAAAACCTGTGCTGCTAATGCATTCAATTCCTCTCTTTTTCCAGTCATATCTCATACTCTACTCATGTAAATTTGTGTTCGTGTTAGTCTCCTGCTGCATGTTTATCTAATGGATGGAGCATGTAAAAGCACACGGTGTCTCATGTTTTATTCTCCTCTTCTTCTGTCATCGGAGCAGCAGTCTGTCCACGCCAAAGAGGCCACGAAGGACATGGAGGTGGCCATCCTGAAGACGTCCCAGAGTGTCAGCGACCTCAGACGTGAGGTGAGCAGCAGTCTGTCGCTGACTGTGAAAAGATGTTCCTGGTTACAGAATCGGACATGACTGAAATGCCTCTGACTTGCTGGTGGTGCCTCTGTAGCTGCTTTCCTCGCTTTTATTTTCCCAGCACCTCAGCCCACCTGCTGCTGCCTGTGTCACCTCTGCTCTTCTTACCTTTTTTGGTTTGGTTTTTTTGTCCCCGTTTCTCTTCAAATGATCATTCTCATTTGTGCCTTTTTTTAAAAGCTCTTTTATTTAACCTTTGTTGACTCCGTCAGCTCCACAAGGTTGCGGTGGGTCGAGCCTCAGATTTGCTGAAAGTTCATGGGGAGCAGCTGCCTCTGCGGGCTCTCAAAGCAGCAGGCGCCGAGGGAAACCTGGAGGAAGTGGCAGAGTATTCGCGCACGCTCACTGAGCAGAAGGAGCAGCTGGTGGAGGTAGGTGGGATCAGGGGCACAGGGAGCAGAGGAACTAGTAGGAGGGTGACGGCTACTTGAATCTGTGGATGGAAATCAGTAGTAATGTTTGCATTTATCTGGTTCATTACCTTCTGATCTCACAGTAATCACTGCGCCTTTTTAGGAAAACATACTCATAAAATAGCACATTAAAAAAAACCAGGTGCTTAAAAGAAAAAAAAATGTTTTAAAATGTTAAAAATCAAAAACAATACTGATCATTGAGGTGCTCAGAAGATGACGTCGAGTGGATGATTGGTGAAAATGGAAGGGATTTTTTTTGTTATAGGTGAGATTCCACAATGCTTGAGCACAAAGGGTAGTTTACGCAAGACATTTGTCTATAATTTTAATAATTTGGCCAAATGATTGCGTTTTTGCCGCCGAGTGTCATGCCGTTAGCATGTTCCTCTGCCAACAAGGTCATGTGATCTGACAGGTTTGTTACCAATTACTCAAAAAACATTAAGGACAGATTTGCATGAAAATTTCACCAGGTTGGCCTCATTTTAAGAGATTGGTCCAAATAGAAGTGATTAATTAAATGGAAGTGGAGCTGATTCAGATTTGCAGCCAGGAATTTTTTGGAAGGATTGTTTACCATTGTGGGAGAGGGCAAAACTGGATCGTCACAATCTTCACACAAACATGTCAAGTATTTTAAAAAAGAATTGCACATTCTTAATTTAGAGCTGTGGACTTTTTGTGCTGGGGGTATACATACTGCTCTTTTTAGGGATTGCCTCATGTATGCTTTGTGTCAGAAGCTTTATTTTCCATCTCTGTTTCACTCCAGACGTGTCGGCTGTTGTGCCATGTGTCGGGCACAGAGCCATTAGAGATCACCTGCATACACGCTGAGGAGACCTTCCATGTCATTGGTCCACAGGTAACACAATCTGTCTAATCATTATCCGTATAAATAATTACTTTATTAAATTCAGCACTATTAATATACGCCCTTGACCGAATGTGTAAATAGCAGTAGATGGGAGTAAAGAGTCTGGTAAGTAATAAAAGTTGACTTAATTAAGCTGCAGATACGGGTCGTTCCATTCAGCACTTTAATTGTGTGTCTATTAAGTCAAACTGGTCATTCTGTGGTTCAGGTGTAAAAATCAAACATGGGTAATAGTCTTCTTAATACGGAGGAAAAGTAGACGCTTAACTTCCCATCTCCTCCGTCTTCCTCCCACATCTTCAGTCCTTGGCTGAGAACATGCTGTCCACTTAGTCCCTCATCCCAGATCTAATTATGTTTGCTCTTAGAAACCATCCATGCCCGTAATTATCCGGCAATGTAGAATGTTCCCGCCTTGCAGCGCTAATGTCAGGCCCCACATGACTCCACAGTAATGACTCCGCTCCTAAGTTCAAAGGTCAGCCAATCAATAACCGTGCGGCATGAGGGTGGTAGTGATGATATCTCTCTCTCTCTCTCTCTCTCTCTCTGCACCCAGAGTAATGCAGGGGTGGCCCAGAGGGTAATTGGCTATTAAATACTACACTGTAGAGGATGGACATTGGGGGAAGGGAGGTGGTGAATAAGTGCGCTGGTGGTCATGTTTCATATTTGTCAAATTTTTCGAACATCGTACGTCAGTTTGATGTCAGGACCAGAAGTGTAGATATAAATTGCTACATATGTGTGAAACTGCTTCAGCGTGAGTCATGCTGAACTGTACTTAGCTGCCTGAACCCATTTTATGATGATAAGTCCTTAAATACTTAACAGTTATACAAGCTCAATTTATGAGCTTCATTCACAGGCACTTGGTTTACATTTTAGATCAACAGCAGCATATGTATGAATGTAGAATGTATCAGAATTGTTCACTCTTCTGCTCAGATCATCTCAGCAGCCCAGACGCTGGCTCTCCACCCATCTAGTAAAATTGCAAAGGAGAACCTGGAAGTGTTCTGCGAGGCCTGGGAGTCGCAGCTCTGTGACATGGCTCTGCTGCTGAGAGAGATCAACGACGTCTTTGAAGGCAGGCGAGGTCAGTTGAAATCACTTCATTGGTTGTCTGTGTCCATTCAGGTGAGTTGTGGTAAAAGGAGAGTACAAGTATGGGTGAGTTATAAAGGGCAAGGGAGTAGAGGTCAATGTGCCATCTGTGGTGTCTTAACTTTGGGGGGGGACAAAAAAAAGAAAGGAAAGAAAAGAAGATCCAATTCTATGAGAAACCTTGATGAATCATTTTCTTCTTGAAATTTTCAGCAGTATTAATAAAACTTAAGGCAGGCAGTATGAATGTATCTTTTCAAAATTAGTCATCACAGACCGTGGGAAGCTTTCTATCAAAGGAGTAACATCAATGCCATTGAACATCCCTGTATTCATTCCCCCTTTTTACACTCTCTCTATTTATTATTGTGCCAATAACCAGAAGTGTCCGAGTCATGGACAACAGCTCTGACGAGCTCTGCTGTTTGCACACTCGGTCACACACGCAGAGACAGAAAGTAGATACTCGAGTGTATTCGCGTGTGCTGCGCAGAAGTCTGTGTGCACGTATTTGTTTGAAAGTTAGATCCAAGTACTTTTACACGCTGTAGGTCTTTTTTTCTTTTTTTTTGTTTTTATAACAACAATAACTCTTTCTTCCTAGGAGACAAAAGGCCTTATTTGTCACTTCCTAGACCTGGGGTGAGTGTCACACCATTCATCCTCATAAATGTCTCAATGATACAAACGTTTGTAATCCTCTGATTAATACCGCTCTCTTTTTCTCCACAGAAGCACTTGGCGAACATGAAGACTGCCAAGGCTGTCAAGTTGGATGCAGAGGTAGCGCACACACCACCAAATCCTCGGGCTTTCAGCACAATACATCACGTCTCATCTTGTACCGTCTTTTGGCAGCAGTATATTCATCTCTAGGAAACATTGTGTCACTCTCTTGAAGAATTGATCGAGTTTGTATGGTAATGTGCTGCAATTTTGTTGGGCAGCACTTTTTCACACGCTGTACCGCCACAGAAAGCAGGATTATGCTGATTACAGGCTTTCCGAGTGTGTAAACAAGTGAAAAGTACCATGCTGGCTAATATACACTTTCAAAAAGACATCAATTACACTTCATCAAAAAGATTTGTGTGGTTTTTAAATTTTTTATTTATTTATTTTTTCCTTTTGCGCTTCTGCGTGCCCAGGAGCAGACAAGTATGGCCAAGCTGGGTCTGGAACTTCGTCTTCTGTCGTCAGATGTAGACACAGAGGTGGAAAAGTGGGAGGACCAGGAGCATGAAATTGTCCGGCAGAGCCAGAGCCTCGCCAGTATGGCCTACAACATGTACCTGTTCACCAGGTAGCCTTCTAGTATCACACTGACACACGCACACAAATTTTTTTGATATTATTTTAAAGCTCAGTGTTGTCAATCCCCTTAATCATCCCCGTTAATCTCTTAAGAGACATACAGAGCAAAAGTCTTGAGCCACCACTCTTTATATTTTGCTAGGAAAATGCCACCACATTTATTCTTCAAGACAACCTGAACTCTTTTAGGTAAGCTTTCTTGTCATTTCCTTAAGTAGTCTTCAGGAATAGTTTTCCAGGCTTCTTAAAGGACATTCAAAGCTCTTCTCTGGATGTTGGCTTCCTTTTGTTCTGTTGTCTGTCAACATGATCCCACACTGCTTCAGTAATGTTGAGCTCCGGACTCTGGGGAGGTCAATCCGTGACTGATAGTGTTATATTGTGTGTTTTTCTATCCAGGTATGCTTTTACTGTATTTGCAGTGTGTCTGTGATCATTATCGTGCTGAAAAATGAAACTGAAGCCACTCAGACACTTCCCAAATGGTACTGCAAAAACGTGAACTGTGTTCATAACTCCCAAAAGGTTGATTCTGTTCATCTGGACGTAGCGTTTTCAGTGGGAGAACTGTTTCGTCATTTATCCAAGTGACTGATCAAAGACCATTAATCATTGATCTTAGTGTTTTAAGAAGATCCCCAAACCCAACAACAGCAGTGTTTTTACAGATGAATGTAGACATTCAGTGTTGTAGCTCTCTTCTGACTTCCTCTGTACATATCGACAGTGATTCGAGCCAATAGATTCAAATTTTGATTCATCACTCTCTTGGGGTGGCTGTAGCTCAGGAGTTTGAGCACGATGCTGAATCCCAGGTTGTTCTCCAAATGCATTCATTGCAGCGTGAAAGTTAGAAAGTACTTAAGCATAGAAAAAAGTGCCATATGAATGGAGGTGAATGGGTGAATGTTATATAAAGTACTTTGAGTGCTCTAGTAAAGTAGAAAAGCACTATATAAGAACCAATCCATTTGCCATTTACCACACTATAAGACCCGTTCTCACTCATTTTTCAATTGAGGTCTTGTGTAATTTAGCACACCTCAGTCTTTTATCCCACTTTCCCTTCTTGAAGGATTGCCTTGACAGACACACTTCCACCAAGAACAAGGTCCAGATGCATCTCAGGTCTTTGGTTGTGTTTTGTTCCCATTTCTTAAAGACACGACTTTGAGCTACTTTTCATCTGCTGTAGATAGTATTTTTTTTTTTTAGCTGTGCTATTTCTTCTCTTGGTGCAAAAATGCTATTTCATGCCTGTCAGACTGTGTTATCTTTGACGTTTTTTTTCTGGATTCGACTTATAAATGGGAACTTTTTTTTTATTTTTTATTTTCCAACAGGCTGCTAGTAACAAAGTGTCTAAAAACACAATTTGCTAAGTTGTCAGTTATGTGCAGATGCAACACTTGTTCGTCGCTTGATTTAGGTGACTTTTTATGCTTAAATGATTCATAAAGTGTAACGTCCATTAACAAATAAACAGCAAAAACATTGTACTGAAAATGGTCCGGTACAAGGACTGGACTGGAAATGAGTGAAAAAGCAGCCAATGTCCAAAAAACCAACTTTTAGAGACCTTCAGAAAGCCTGGAGAACTATTGCTCAAGACCACCTTTAAAAACTTACAAGAACATTTCAGTCATTTGAAGCAAATTATAAAGAAATGTGGCTTGTCTCAAGACTTCTGCACGGTACTGTATTTTCACAGATATTTTCTAAACAGAGTTGATTGCTTTGGAAGATGTTTGCCCTTGTGCATATTTCTAATCCGAGCTTCTCTTTATTATTTCCTGCATGATTGATCCACAGAGGGGAGGGACTGTTGAAAACAACGCTAGATCTTTTTCATCAAGCTGAGGTATTTTTCATTAAGCTTGCTCTGTTTGTTTTCCTTCTATTTTATTGAAGTCGTAAATGAACGCATCTATCGTCCAGTTCCACCTGATACACGCTGAAGCTCGCAGATCGATAGGTTAGTAAATGCAAGGATCCCTTCATTCACGACCCTGAAATGCAGATTTCACCGGGCATTACGGGGATTTATGAGTGCAGTGGGAATATAGCGTGGCAGATTCCCGGCCATCCCTGGCACATGGTGTAACAAGGTTTGTGCGTACGAGTGTTTCCTATTGAACTGGGATCTTTGCCAGTAATGTACAGTCATTTGTAGAATCAGGGACCGAAATGTCAGACAGGATTTATTCAATTTGTGTTGAGCAGGGGAGATAAGCGAGGAAGAGGAGCGAGAGGGGAAAGAGACGGGAAGGCATACTGATAAGAAGAGCCAAGAAAAATCATAGTATTTACTGACTAGGCTTCTTTTTAGTTAAGAGAGCTTTAGTTTTTCTTCTGTGTGTGTGCGCAAGTTGTTTGATTTTTGTCTCTTTTCTGACCTACTCTTAAGGTTCTTTCTGAAGAGGGGCTCCAGCTGTGCTCATCTCTCCGCACTTTTTCCTCTCAGGTATATTCCCATGCAATTAATCTATCTTGAACACACCAAAGCACAACGATTCATATAATGCAATTCCAAATAATGTTTTTTTTCTACAGTAGGCATTTATAAAGAAATCTAATATAAAGAACAAAAGGGGTTTTTTTCCAAGTAGAAATAAAATGAATACAGTTGAGTATGAACCAGGAGAGAAGTTCACTTTATGCACAGTATTTTCTTGCTTGTCTTGTAGCATGTGATTGGCTGCAGCGTAGTAAGACAGAGCTAAGGAGATCGTTATAGCAAAGCAATAATGAAAGAATTGTTTATTTTCTCCTGAAAATGGGGAGATACTAACCAACTCTGTGTGCACACACACACACACACACCCTCCGATACTAATACACACCCGTATCACACGTTGTGGCATGCCACGGTGCCAGGTCTGGCTTATAAATCACACAGCGAGAGCAGGAAATTAAGGCTGTCACACACTTTCACCATCCTCTTGTCCTCCTCTCAGACTCCAGTTTCAACAAAAGTAGCCTTGGTGCTTTCCTTCCTTTTAGCTCTCAACAAACTTCTTCCTCAGGTCCTCCAAGTTTAATTAAATGGCTCCTTTTGACAGCCTTTAACGACTGCCATTTGTCACCGCCGTGTGTCCGAGGCTGCGTGTGTTTGCGCACATGTGAATGGGCAGAGGGGGGTGAGAGCGGAGGGGGAGGTGGGTTGACTGCGACCGCCCAGGAGCAATTCATAATCAGGAGGCCCGGCTCTTCAGCTTCCTTCATGCTTTCTGATTAATTACATCAAACAAACTGGTGCTAATGGAGTCCCTCTGTCTCACCCTCCACTCCTGTAGTTCTTTGGCACCAAACACACAAAGCACATCTGTGTAGCTCTAATTATGCAGATGAGATTAAGCATTTTTTTTCTTACTAAGGTTTAAGAGGTTTTATATGTTGTTGCTGGGCATGAATGACAAGGGATTGAGGTCTTGGGTCATTGGTGGCATGTATCTGTGTAGACTACGATCTGGGGATTAACTCGGATGGATAACAGACTTAAGCAGCAGATCATGGCTATTGCTGATGGATTACATCAAGCAGCCCTTTTTTTTAAAAAACTTCTTTTTCTTTAATCCACTTCTCCTTTTCCCGATGCTTAATTTGTATTTGACCACGAGCCCTGTGAATCTCGTTCAGTAAATCTATCAACGTCTGCACATATTAACTCTCCCAGCGAAGTGCCGTTATACAACCGTGTCTTCTGTTCTGAAAGACATCCCACCCTCCCTCTGTGTGTACCTCTCTCTGTTCCAGTTGGTTGATGAGGAAAAGACTGTGGTGATGACAGAAATGGAGAAGCTGCTGGCTTTGTGCCAACAGCTGCAGATGGGGGCTAAGACTCCTGTACAGGGCAAGGCTGCCACCTTCCAGAAGGTAACCATACTACACCTGTCTGTGTTTTTATCTCTCTTCTTGTTAGTGTCTGCACTCTTTATTAGGAAAAAAAGAAAACCAATTACTTATTTTTGCCTGAAGTCTGTTCGGTTTGGTGGACGTTAAATAAGTAATATCACAGAGATCGAACAAAGCAGATAAAGAGTGTTTCCACTGAAGGACCGAAGAAGCTCTGACACTATCACAACTATCACCCCAACAACCAATGGGTATCATTAAAGCGCTGAACACACAATAGGGCATGACTAATTGTGTTCATTACTGGCTTCAGAATAATCTTTCAGTTATCTTTGAGTAATACGAACATCTAACGCAGGATGCTGGGTTAATGAATGTCTATGAGGAATTAATGAGCACCTTGGACGGGGATGAGCTGCCTTTGCTCACCTTGTAATAAAGGCGCTGGTTTGGAATCAAAAGGACACGATGAAGAATAGCATGCTCAAGGCTGATTAATTAGTGCCTCTTTTATATGTATTGGCTCCCGCCTCTATATCTCTTTACCTTCACATCGACCGTATCATTTATCTCGAACGGTAGAGAGAGCCTGTCTTACGGGGGTTGGTAGGACATGGATGAGGAAACGTTAAATTACAGGGTCAGTGTAGTTTAGTGCTGCTGCTGCAGTGAATCTCTATGCGTGGACCCTTAGTGATGTATTATTTTACGTCTGTGCTTTCAGGTGGACTCATTCATTCAGGCAACCAGGAGCATCCTGAGTGTGGTCCTCTCCCTCCTGCCATGCTGTAACAAGCTCAATAGAAAGGTGACATCCACTGACCTGGACACTTTATTGACAGGCAGCTTGAACATATATATGAAAGTATAGAAAAAGCTTGGAGATCTTATTATCCAGATACATATGCAAACATCACAGCACGCTGACACTTGCAAACATGTACCTTTTATTTTTAGCACGCAGCAGATATACAGCAGCGCCTGTGTTCATTTATAGCTATGTTTTGCAGGGGATGGTCAATATCTTTGCCTCCTTTTTTTGCTGTCTATCAAAAAAGTCTCCAGTGAGTTGCTAAGTGTCTGCGATTTTGAGCTGAAATCCTTGTTGAAGCTAAAAGGTGTCAGTTGTTGGACTGATTGCCACTGAAGCACATTCACAAGATCAAACCGTAGACTGTAAGCAGAAAGCTGCAGCTGGCATTGGCAACTCAACTTTTTACTCGAAGCTTCTCTTTGGGCTTTAAGTTCAACACATCATGATTTTCTTTTTCCACAATTTTTTTTTTTTTTTTTTTCTTTTCTTAAATGATCATGATTTTCGAGAGCCGCAAGTGACCGCATCTACACCAGCGCGTGAAGGAGTGCTATGTTACCGGCTAGGTAGTGAGTTCAATTAAATTCAGTTTTATTTATAAAACAGTTGCCTCAAGACGCTTTAAAGTTGCATCCAGAGATGCTATAGATTTCCATAACTAATATCTGAAAAAAAAAAAAACCTTGGTGATGTAGTTTTTTTTGGGTTTTTTTAATAACATAAACACAGCAACATAAAAAGAACTGACTCCAGTACAAGCAATCAATATTTCATATAAAAATATTGATTATGTCAGCTTTGTGTGTATAAACAGTTAGAAATGAGCCATTGTATTTTGCCGTTTGTTTGTTTTTTCACTTTTACTCTCCTGTGTCATTTACTTTCAGTACAAGTCAGAGAGGAACAGCCTCAGTTCCCCACAGGATTGGAGAGAAAGGCAAGACGCATCCACACCTGTCAAAGAGGAAGGAGCTCTCAACACCAAGAACAGCAACGGATTTGGCGTTAAATCTTTGGAGCAGCACATGGCTGGTCTCAACCTCCTTGAGAGCAAATAATCCCAGGCAATCTCTTCCTTTGTCCACTCTTCCCGATAAAGCAGCACATAGCTGACCTCACCTCTCTGGAGAAAATATGATCTTAGAAATAGCCCCAGTCCCCACCCCCATCCATCATTCAGTACTAGTCTGGTAAAGATGGTTGACTTGGCTCAACCGGAATTTGCATTTCCTGCCTGGATGATGTTTGCACAAGAAAAGAAAAAAAAAGGAAAAGCAAGTCTATGCTCTCTTTCCCACTGAGGTTGATTTAATCCAAGGTAGCGTTTCACCTGAAGCACCAGTTCCACCCCAGTCCACAAGATGGAGTTATTACTACACACACACAAAAAAAAGTTTTCAAAAAAAGTGAGGCCTGTCACAAACCTGATTTTTTTATTTTTATTTATTTTTTTAAATATTTTTTCTTGCTTCTGAATTAATAAACTAATTAAAAGTCAGGAGAGAACTCCACTTGATGCTCAGCTCAGCCATACATCTGTCTTCACTATGTGCCTCTGTGTGACAAGCCTCTGTGTTTTGTGGTGTTCTGTAATTGTGTTGCACAAGTTATGTAAAAAAAAAAAAAGTAAAATTAAGATCCACAATGCATGACGCCATCATTACCAAACCCCCGTGTTTGAGTCTCCTGTGGTCACAGCCTTGTAATGTGACACTTTCTTTGTAATGCGCGCCACAGCAGTACACCACGATCACTTGCATTATATTGAGCACCTCATTTACATTAGGTTTTACAAGCTGACCACACTACATAACATGCAATGGATGTCTAATAGCCATTATTGTACGACATTCCCCATGTGCCATGCTAGTAGGAAAATGCAAAAAAACAAAAACAAATGCCAAATACGATTGTTCTTGCGTCTTCTTACTGTTATAAAATATAAAACATAGTCCTCCAGTGTTAATGGAGACACTTTTATTTAAGCCGGGTTTCTCGACTTGATCGAACCTCTGTTTATATTGTCCTGAGAATTATACGAACCAGTCTACATGGCATACTTTCTCTCAAAGAAATGAAACAAGTTTGAACTGGCACACGTGTAAAGTGGAACCTTGAAGTGTACTTGTTATGAAGACTATCATTGTGAAGCTGCCTAACAGACCATTATGTATTAAATGGTATATATTACTTGGTACTTGAAGCATATGTATCCCGAGGTAATCACTTTGGTACTAGGAGAGGGAGTTAGAATGAATGAAATGTATAACCACACAGGAAGCTTTAGAGAATCACTGTACAGTGAGAGCAGCTAAGACTGCTGGGTAACGTAGTGCCGCCAGAGATGTGACGAAATCGTATCTAGTTTTGGACCACCGTTTCTTTTGACGATTCAAAGGTTATTAAAAGTGACACAAAAAAATAAACAATATTTTTCTTAAATTATTGTTTGTCTTTCTTTATATTCGACAGAAATACTTCAAACTCATGATTAGTATGTAACAAGAAAATAAAAGCCACTGTTCATGCGTTCTACTAGTTCCTTATTATATTTATCAAATTGGCAAATCCAAGCATAGGCAAATTACTTGAAATCTGACTGCTTCTTGGATCCTTAAAATGTTAAACACTTTAAAAAAGGAAAAATATAGAATAACCTAGATACACAGTGCTTCATTATAAACAAAAGCCTTTCAGTCTTCTGCTAACTTTTAAGTGCATGAGGGAAAGAAACTCTCCCACAATAGAACGGGCTTGAATAAGGCAGGAATGTGGGGAACTGTCAAGATGGTTGGGACTGGGCAGAGCTGCGTTTGGAGACGATGTTCTCAAACTCGTCTCTGTTTAGAAGATTTTCTGTGATGCTCTTGCTCTCTTCAAACTTTGGCAGGATGACGGCGATGTATCCTTCGGTGGATGGCTGTAGAGATTTGACAAACCAAGCATTGTTACATGTGTTTATGAATCTTTACTAGTGTTATCTAATCTCCTCATAGGCATATGAAGCCGTGTCACCATCAGGTATGCTAAATTAATGTCAACTACTCATGTAAGGGTGTTTAACAGGGAAAAAAAAAAAGGTACAGTACGCAGTAATAGTATGCAGATGGAGACATGTTAAAGATGACATGTAATGTACTTTACATTTACATGTGTAAGGTAAAATTGTAGGTTTTACCTTTTCCAGCAAGAGATTCGGAGTTTCTAAAATGTTCTCTTTGACTTCCAGAAGACGACCCCGAATGCAGCTAAACCAGCCAGTGATGAAGATGTATGAGCACGTGGAAGATAAATATATACTTTAACAGTCAAAGACAGACTTTTACCTGTAGATTGTGTACTCTGTTTCATCTGTGCATGTTATCCTGCATAACGGTGCAAAATCAGTAAGGAACTGTCCCCCCTGTCGTACAGGCCAAAAAAGGAATGTTAGGATAAATGTACGAGCACACAGACCAAAATCCAGAGCTTTATTAACTTACCCGCTTGGACTTCCCAGAGACTTTATTTTCCAGCCGACTGCAGCCATTACTGATCTGGTAATTGATGCTTTTGATTGTGCGTCCGTTTTGTAGAATTGGGTGAGTCTCTGCTAAAGTGATGACACATATTCTGCCAAGAAAAACATTCTTTTAAGAATCTATCAAGCTCCTTTTAAAATCTATATTTCTCTAGCGACATACTGATGTAGAAGTGATAAAAATCACTCATACCGAGCAGGGATTACATCGTGTAACAAATACAGTGTAATGTAGAATCAAATTATTATTATTCCCCATTTTCTCAATTTCTTTCCTGAGAAAACTTCCACTTAGTCATGATCAGGCCTACAAAATACATTAAGCTGCTGTTCTTCTTTTAGCTGTTCCCTTTAGGGGTTTCTTCAAACCACTCAACTTGAACTGTCCCTCCAATGAACTCATTTCTAATCTTGTCTATTCAGGTCACTCCCAATGAAAATCTTAACACCTCCAGCTCAGAGCTTCCTGTCTTTTTGTCAAAGCCACCGTCTCCAACCATACATCATAGTAGGTCTCACTACGATCAGAAAAATATTCCCTTTCACTCTTGCTGCTATCACTCTGCCACAAATCACCTCTGACATTCATCTCCACCCCGCTTGCACTCTCTTCTTCACCTCTTTTTTGTGCTGTCTGTTGCTTTTGACACCAGGTATTTATACTCTTCCACTGTCACTACCTCTACTCCTTGCATGTTCATCTTTCCATCTGTCTTCACTTTCATTCACACACATATATCAAGTCTCGCGTCAACTGACTTTCATCCCTCTTCTCACCAATGCGTATGTCTACCTTATCAGGTTCTCTTTCACCTGCGCCCTATAGAGCACAATGTTGTCTGCAAACATCATAGTCCACAGAGACCCCTGGCTGACCTCATCTGTGAACCTGTCCATTACCACTGCAAACAAGGAAGGGGCTCAGAGTGGTGATGTCATGCCATGCCACTGCTACCTTGAACTCATCTGCGAGTCCTACCAAACACCTCACTGTTGTCTCCCGGTCCTCATACATGTTCTGCACCACTCTCACATACTTCTCTCCTACCCCTGATTTCCTCATGTAGTACCGCACTTCATCTCTTGGCACTGTATCACATTCTTTTTCTTGATCCAACTCCTGACCTTCCCTGTACTCCTTCATCACTCTCAAAGCATATTTGTAACTGTAGTGCTCTTTCTTAGCGTACTTCCTCTCTTCTTAACATAGCTTCAATAAATCTTTCCCATATCTTCATGGTATGGCTCATCAACTTTACCCCTCTGCAGTAACTAAAGCTCACACTTGTTCTTGAAAATCTGTACCAATACACGTCTTCTGTATTCCTCAGGTATTCTCTGACTTTCCAAGATCGTGCCAAACAAATCTTAGTCCAAGACAATTCCATACCTCCACGGGTATGTCTTCTGGACCAACTTCCTTTCCACTCTTCATCTTTTTCATGGCTATTCTCACTCCCTAATTCACCACCTGTCTTCTCTCATGCGTCAGGAAGAGCATCCAGCGTAAAATCTTAGCCAAATCAAACATACAAAAGGTCCATTAACATACAGTGAATCATAGCAATTGGTGTGACTCATGGTCACTTGGTCAACCTCCTGTTACCTGTTTGAATGCTGTAAGATGCAATGGTCCTCGCATGGCTTTCCCTTCATGTCTAAAAACAAAAAATGAAAAAAGGTGTTCGTGACATTAAAAGCAAAATAAAAAAACCCCATCTATTCAGACTAAAACTAAAAGTTAACGCCATCTCCCCCTGAACACTTAAGTTCACCTAACGTTAGCTCACTTAGCTTAGCTACTTAGCAAGTATAGATGAGACACGTTCACATGGACGTTACTTACCGGCTCTGTACCAGCGTGTGTAATATCGGTCGATAACTGAAGGAGCATTTGCTTTGGTATCTTCATGTTCCACGCTCTCCATGTAAAATAATAACACTGGAAAATTAATTTAAGATATTAGCTTGGCGTCAACTTGTCTTGTCGGACAGTAAATAGTGCAGCACCGGGCAGTCCGTCCTTGAAATATATCCGAAAACCCCAAAGGCAAATAATTCTGGCTGTTCTTTTGTTTTGTACAGCGATTCGCATTTCTTTGTAGTGAATCTTCATTGACAGCAATAAACAATAAATTATTAAGTTTAATATGTTCACCAGAATAGCTGGTAACTAACTACAGATAGTATCTTTTGAACAGTCTCTCACTTTTCACTAATCACAATATGTAAGATTGAGACAAAACAAAAAAACTTCAACCCTCCAGAAAAAAGGTCTTTCAAAACTTTAAAAAATGGTCTTTATTATTTCTATGCATGGAAACGTGCTTTAAGCGTTCAAATCTTACACAACAGAAAAAAGGGAAATCCACATTAAGTTATAGTGGAATAAACACACAAGTACATTTATTTACAAGTAAGTGTGTGTG